TCATCACTACATGAAAGGTTGGCAACCACATTACGATTTCTCGCTACAGGGATGAACTACAAAGAACTTAAGTTCTCTACTACGATTTCTGATCATTGTTAGGGGTTATCAATACTCTCATTGCATTTGTATCCTTTGTTTTGAAAACGTCGACCAACTGGTTGAGGATCGAATTTCTTTTATTTCTATCGTGGTAAATATAATCATTGTCCACCACTTTCATAAACATGGTAAACTTTCATACAATTCAATCACCTCAACAATAAAATCTCGATTGGATGTCATTACCAATAAAGAATAAACGTTTTTGACTTTTTGAGAATGTATGACGGAGATGTTTGCTCAGTGACAGAAAGACGGAGACTGCACCAAAAAAACGAGGGTTTTCCCATTTACGAACGCGCGATGCCGTCGTCGCGCCGTAGATATTTGGAGTGGCGCGATGGAGTTTGGACCGGTCGAATATTCGGCACAGCCGGGCACGCCAGTTCAGTTTTGCCATTGACGAGGTTTTTGGAACGGCGTCGCTCCGTTTGGCCTGCATGGAGCGATCGTGAATGGCCACCTTAAGTGTTGTCGTGAAGAAGAATCGGCCCTTACGGTTTACCAATGCTAGGCAAAGACGTTGCATAACCGCATTTTGCGAATTGTTCGGCAATTTAACGGAGAATTCCATCATGGACAAGGTTTGTTTCGGGACATTTTAGTAGGGGGTGCATCTTCTGAATTTTCCGATAAAAATGTCAGAAACGGTGAATTTTTTGTGCCCCTACTCCTCCTAACTTTGAAAAATCACGAAAATTATAATTTTCGACTAATCAGGCTAGTTTTAGTCTAATTCGACGCTGAAATAAATGCTATGAATGTTGTTTCGAATTGTTTTATGGTAGTAATAGCGATTTATTTACTATTTCACAAATAAGGTCAGAAAAAGTTTTTTTTTTTACCTTAGCGCTGTACTGGAGGATTTTCAAACCCAGGTTTATAGGGCCTTTTTTACTCAGCTATATCCTATAAATAGCAATAGCATAAAATAGCAATTACCTATAAATCTTTGATTTTTGACCCATGATTTGGGGCCTCCCAGTATACTTTTAGTTATTTAAAGCCTATCAGGCGTGTCCCGGGGACAAACTACATTTAAACTCTCTCATTGCTCAACTAGATTTAAAAGTCGTCGAGAATATTCAGGACATTGTTTCGTCAGTAAAGTCGGCAATAAAATACACATTAGCAAAAGACCGCTTATTCACAGTTTTCAAAGAGAGTGAGTGCTCGAGCTAGGAGACGTGAAGCCACAGAAGTTTACAACAAAGCTGGGTTTCCATTGTGCGAAAAAATCTCTCGCGAAATGCCGTCTCGGGTTAACCATTTCCACGAGGCGAAACAAGGTGTCATCAGTTTGCACGAGACTAGCATGCCGTTTAATACTACCCCAATTGCTGCAACAGCGTTTCTATCATGATGATACTTTTTGTCCTTGTCCCATTTTGATGCTCAGTTTCTTTCATGCCTCCGCTCTCTTGTTCTTGTCATGATGGAGTTTTATCTTTAGCATCCCACAAAAATCGGTACCTGTGATACACATTCGATCCTCCTTCTCTTACTCGAGACAAGTCCGTGTACACGGAGAGAAACATTTTGATGCGCGCTAAAAAACCGATAGCCGTTCGACTCACCTCGAAACATCCTCGGCCAAAGTTTCGGAGTCTAGGTATCCACACCGCGAGACAAGTTTCTCGAGTGATTTTCGCACAGTGGAAGTCCAGCTTTACAAACTGTATGACTAGATAAAATCAGCACACAGATTAGATGAATTATTTCCATCACGGATGGAAAACTAGACAAAATAGACGAAATCAGTGATAAAATTTGGAAGTGACTTCTCTCTCTACCCAAGTTAATGCAGAATTCTTTTGCACCCCTCACGTATCTAGATATTTAATACAACACTTTATACGATCTTATATCTGATCTAGAGATGGAAATAAAATAATTTTAAAAAACCCATAAAAGATTGCGTTACAAATCTCGATAACAATACAACACCGATGGAAAATATTGTTATAGTCACTTCCGTTATATATATATTTAAAAAAAATGTACACTGTCCTGTAAGTGGAAAAACGCCATTTGTTTCGTCTTTTCTGAGGGAGCGGACATTGAAGACAATACTTCGTTCACGTTGCTTCTTTTCTGCCACGCTTTAAGAATCTTTTTGTTATGACTTAATGAATCCCTAACAGACCGCAAGTTCGAAGAAGACGGTTTATCCATAGAAAGAGCTTATTTTTGAGTATACAAATTGGCAATAATATTATTTGCTTTCGAACAAGCCAAGGGAACTCTTTATTCGTTTTTGAATAGAGGATCAAGCAGTATTGAAATTGATAAAATGTTTACATGTTCGATGCTTCCAACTTTTTCATTATATTGGATTAAGTTAGAGTTTTGCAAAGCTTTCCCAACTGATAGTTCGGAGTCAGCTTTTCAACTTATTAGTAATAAATGATGACCCGAGCTCACTTCAGTAGTATTCAGCTGGCTTTAATATTTCGCATACCTCATGCAAAATTTCTGTTTGAAGGGTAGTTACCATTGTAATCGCATTTACTACATCATTAATAAAAGGACGAAGCTCTGAAAAAAAATCTTTGGTACATCTCGAAGGTTGAGTGGAACTTCTTCCACCGAGTCCCATTTCTTGAATCTTCTTTTTGTCAAAAACTTTCCAAAGTTTATCACTTACATACGCTGTTGTGATTTAACACATTTCAGAATAGTTCTTCTATTGTTTGAATAACTTTTGTAGCAAGTATGTTAAGGGCATGAACGAAGCGAAGCAAATGTTATGACGTACCCGAAGTAATTTGTACTGCATTCATGTTCGCAGAGCTGTCAGTTATAACAGCAAAGATTTTGTCAGTATCCCATTGTTCCTTTGGAAGGTCGCATACGTAGATCGAGATTGACATTGAATATTTAGTGATAAAAAAAAAAAAAAATTGTACCGTCATATATAAAAAATGTTTTGATTGGCCATGTATCCGTGGTAAATTAATAACTGCATCCATAATTTGATATTATTCTCTAGCTCTTCTTTATTTGTTTATTTTATTTTTATAATTTTTTTAATTCATTTATAGATTTTTTTACATGAAGTAATCAAACTTTTTTTTTGTTTGTATGTTTTATCACAATTTCGGGGCTGTACCCTGCCTCTTCTTTTCTTCAGGCAACTAATTTCAGTAGTAAAAATCGGTCAATAAAATAAAAAAAAATCTCCACAATTTTCATTTATGCAATTCAACTTTACCTCTGCTGGAGAACAGAATGTGTAAAAACCTCCCTTTTTCCCACCCTCTGATCAGTTTTAATGTTGTTATCGAACAGTGATGACAAACATGAATATACTTTTTAATACAATGAAACACAATTTTTTAAATTGAGTGATACAGCGATGTTTAGTTACATGTGTCATTGATGGTTCGACTTAAAACATCTTTGTTTATTATCATTGATGACAACCATCCTCTCTTTGTATACTATTGGTTGTTCGCATGAAATGTCCGATTTTATAGTTTCAGAAATTCAGAGAAGGTATAGCGGTTTTCTATTGTTTGCTTCCAATTGTTTACATATTATAATTAAGCAGTTATTAATCCTCCACTTTTGTTTATAATGGTGAGCTCTCCAATCCATTACACACGTTTTAGTATACTTCCAAATACCAACATGGAAACAAGCGATTTTCGTGTAATCTACCTTTACGAGTTTAAACTCGGACATTTCGACAGCTGAGACTGCAAGAAACATCAGTAAGTCGTTTGGGGAAGGGAGTGTAAATGAACGGACCATTGGGTTGATAAGTTTTCGGAAGGGAATACCGAATTGGAAAACGAGCCCCGCGGAAAACCTCCAAATTTAATTGACAACGATGTCCTTAAACCTTCAGGTGGAAGAAATCCACTATCAAACAGTCAGATGACTCGCAGCACAACTAAATGCAAGTGCAGCTACCGTGTCAAGACGATTAAGAAACATAGGAAAGGTCAAAAAGCTTGATCTATGGGTCTCTCTTGAGCTCACCGAGCCACAGCAGTTAAAATGCCTTGAGACATGCGTTTCGTTGCTTGGCAAGCAAGAAACCGACCCTTTACTTGAAAAAATAATCCCATTCGATGAAAAAATGGATTATATATGACAGCGTTGGTCAGGGCAGTGGTTAAACATCGACGAAAGACCATGCCAAAACCAAATTTACACCCAAAAAATTGATGGTGACCGTATAGTGGTCCATGACTGGAGTTATTCACTACTCCTTTTTGCCTAGAGGTGAGACCTCTACATCTTACTGCAAGGAAATTGACGATGCATAAAAAATTACTAAAAAAACAACCTGCATTGGTAAACCGGAAAGGTCATAACTCCTCCACCACAACGCCAGGCCTTATGTATCAAACCGTACTGTAAACAAATTGAAAGAGCTTGCTACGAAGTTCTTCAGCATCCACCCTATTCTCCAGACTTGTTTCCAACAGATTTTCATTTGTGTAGGAATTTAGAACTTCGTCAAAGGAAAATTTCGTGAAAATGATGTTCAAGTCCAAAAAGGCTTTTCTGATTTTGTTTCATTTCAAAGCTCAGAATTCTTCATTTCCGGCATAAAAAAGTTGGTCACGCGTGGGTGAAAATGTGTAGAAAATGAATGTAAATACTTCCAATAAAATGATTTTGTTTTTTATATAGTAATTTTACTAAAAAACCTTGGAAACGGACATTTCATGTGAAACAACTCAATAATAATAAACATCGAGTAGTCGATACCCGTCGGTAGTATGCGGTGAGAAAGCAATATTTGTCGGAGGAGCGTCGGTGGCCGCAACGGTTTAGGCGTTGACACGTTGCATCACTGTAAGGCAAAGGTCCCGGGTTCGATCCAGCAGCCCTGCATTGGAATCTGACTTACTTACAAATGGGCTTTTTTTTTTTTTTTTTTCAAAAACACCGGCACCCCGAGGATTAATATAACTAAATAATAAAAAAATGTCAGTAATTAGAAGTCGAGCAGGCGCGTTTCTTTCAGTAGATTCTCCCCACGCGTAGAATATACCGCTCACTTCTTTTCGTCTCCCACTTTGATATACCGCTAAATTAGGTTTACCCTTTTATCTGTCCAACAGGCCTCCAGTATTTCTGTTCAACGGGTGCACGTTGACGAGGTATATTAATTTAAAAAAATATAAAAAAATGATGGCAGTGTAAAGCCTTGTTCACTCGGCGTGTGTCTTGGAGAGCTTGGTCTGAAACTAGTATTGTCGGAAAAGTCAACTGGACGGATGGCAAGCCTCAATACGGCGTTCCCACGATTCCTTGTGGTATGTTGCAGTTGTACGGGTTTATTCTGAACTGAATTCATTTTTCAACATGTATAAATCAAAATAGAACACAGTACTAGCGTTGATCTTGGCTCATGACAATTGACTTCATTGGGTGACAAATGGCCGCTCGGGATTCGCCAAGCCAACCTTTACGCGCCATGGGATTGGCTTGAGGTTGGAATACGACAGATCGCAAATCCGTGAGTACGCTCGTCAAGCCACACGCAAAGGGTACAAGGAAGGAACATTTATACTTAAAACATTTCTCTAGCCCAGAAACTTCAGGTGACTGTTTTCCATTATATTGATCAAGAAAGCACAAAACAATTTGCAATGTCTAAACGGGCGTTGATTCAAACCGACATCTCTTCAACTCATTTTGATTATGTTCCCATCGATTTTTTTTTGGCCCTTAATAAAACGACTCGAAGTGAATAAATAAGAGTACTTATCTCATAAGGACGACATCGTGGTCTAGTGATTATCTGGTGTTTTTTTTGTTTGTTTTTACTTTATGATTGACCTTTTGCTCTCCTACTCCAATATCTTTTTCTTTTACTTTCTTTATTAAAGATTAGCCATATTTATTTTATAACATATAAAATGTAACTATTCACACAAAAAATATTTATTTTTGCTTCCGAAGTACTGAAGCTAGGGAAGCTTTATGTTCTTGCCGGAAGTCGGAAATTTTTTTATCCTCTAAATTCAAAATTTTCACTCGCATTTTGCGTTTCAGACCTTCGTGAACAAATTTGGTTCCTTGTCTGTCTGTCTTTTCAATTACTTGTAACCGGCAAAACTCCCTGAGACCAATTTTTGTGAAATTTTCGGAGATTGTGCGAGATTGTGCCGGTTGGTTTCTAGATGGCTCCCTTTGATACAATCGCATCAGAGATAACGCCTCCGCATAAGTAAACGTAAAATCACGTACACAGCTATACCTCCGAAACCGTTAGTCGGATTCTTATGCAATTTTCAGGGATTATGCGCGAGCAGGAGTCAAATTATCCTCATTTTGGAAACACGGCCGGAACTATGGTTCCGACAAGTGGAAGCCATATTCTTCACGGCAGGAATAAATCAGGAACTCTTAAAATTCAATTATGTCATTATGGCTTTGGATGTGGACACAGTGGCGCTAATATCCGATATTCTGGAAACTGAACCTTATAATACAAACTCTAAAAACACCTGTGGTCTAGAATACATCCGACAGAGGGACACGAAACTTCGAACCCTCTTGATGGATATGCATCTAGGGGACGAAAAACCTCCGACTTTTACGTACAATGACGGATTTATCTAAAGGAGCACTCAGAGGACGCCATAAAAAGTTTATAGGTCCAGCGGTAACTCACCAACGTTCAAGCGGTTTTATCGGTGAGCGTGGGTAACGATAGACGACCGCAGTTGGCTCGGTTGGCCGACCGTGTTTTGGAAATGACCTCCACCCCTACAATTTGCTGCGTCCAGCAAGTGGACTCCGCCAGAACAATCACGGAACTCGCACTTACTGACATTCAGCGTCAACTAAACGACATGCATGTGCCAATCGCAGCACTTTCCCGGAATACAAGGGCGGAACACCAGAGGTACAAACAGCCCCAAGAAACACTCATAACTGCTTCCATTTTCGAGTAAGTCCGAGGAACACAACCACTTTATGTTGGTTTTACTTGCCTTACGGTGAAGCTGCACACAAATGCATTCTCCCTGCGCCTACACCTCCACTAAGCAGACGGAAAACTCATCCCCATCAATAAAGGCGGTAAACGATGAGGCGAATACCATTACCGCCAGCCTTGCTTATATGTTACAGACCGTTACTTAGTCCACACTGCTACGGCATTATAGTAAGCCTGCACAAAACGTGAGGAAGCTATACTGTTAGTAAGCATGCACAAAACGTGAGGAAGCTATACTGTCCATTCACTTGGCAGAGTTTTTACATCACATTTGAACTGAAATTCAAAATTGCTTGCAGAATTTCCACGTTCCAATGTGAACTGCAGATTGGTGGGGAGCGGGACCTTTCCTTGTGTAATCTACATTTCTGTTGTACCAACCTTCAGGGCTGGGCATTCCAAAAACAAGTGGTTGGCATATCCGATTTGCTGCATTTGTACCAGTGAAAGGTTGTCATTAAACCGTATTCTTGGCATACATACGTAGGATTTCCTTTTGTTTACTTTTTCAGACCATCGTTTTTTCGGGATATACTTGTATTGCACCATAGTATTTTCCGTTAGACCGCACGGATTTTCGGGGAATATAAGAATACAGCTCCGTAACTTCGCCACCCCTGCTTCTTCGCTTTGTTTTCTTTTAAATCTCTATGCACATTTTTTGCGTATGAAATTACAGTGCTCTTAAAAACAAATAAATACATCGTAGCACTGTAATATATATGAATCTTGATTAAAGCCACATGTCAAATAGTATCAGTTGTATTAACAAAATTCAGATTCTGGTTAAAATGTAGTAATTTGATTGTAAAATTTAAATGATGAATTGAAGGGACTAGCTTGTAGTTGGACAAGTCTGACTGAAATGGACATTATTAATAAAATTCGAAAAGTAAATTGATTTTGAACCTTTTTCACAAATATAAAGTACATTGCTAATGCATATTAACAAGCGTTTTTGTAGAGTGTATCGAACATTTCATTTTTTCGATTTGGATATCGGTATGTACATTTTACACAATAATTATACTTTAAAAGCGTCTGTTCATCTGTGCTTATTTTAGACACATGTGGTGATTGGAAATCGGGATAAAATTTAAACGAAATAAAATAGCAATATTTTTTTTATTAATAAAGGATTGCACATTTAATGGATAAATTCTATTAATATTTTCTTTATTTTCAGGTGAGTTGTTTTTCATGTTAACGGGACGATTAGTTTATGGTAAAAGTAAGTAAAGTTGTTTAAGAGGTATGAATTCAACACCGATCATTCAATTAGTGTTGATATCCCGAGCCAATGCACTGTATTTTAAGCTTTTAATTAATAATGATTGTTTAGATGGTTTAACAACAACTTGTTAAATAATAATAAAATGATTTACAAATAATAAAGCCAAAAAGGCAAAGGCGTTGTAGGTTTACTTCAGAATAATTAACCTACACCGTATTCCGAAGAAGGGAAGATCCTAAATTGCCACCACTTTTTCAAAAAAATAAAAATCTCCCATTTTAGGTGAATTAAAAGAAAATTGCAAACTTATATCGTCACACTACTATAAACAATAAATTCACTCATCATCGACATCGATCGCTGATCACTGATAAATTATCTCTGTTCTTAGTGATAGTAAAATATCGCAGTTTTCAACTAAAAACGAACCGATTTTCGAGTCATCAGAAATCTCCGCCCTCGTATGATATTGAACCGAAAGAGTACAACCAATTTGTTCTCTGTCGACCTTCCAATCGCTAAATCACCGCTACCGCTGTTTTTCCTAGATTTTAAGTCCGTGAAAAAACAACGAATCTGTCTATAACCTCAATCACTATATCACGCAAAAATTAAAGTGGAGTCTCTTAAACCAAGAAGAGCGGCGGCCCGTTGACTTAAATATCACTTTGGTGTGTTAAATGCCAAGGTAGCCATAGTTGCGGTAATTAAGGGTTAAATTGCGTGAAATTCCCGTAATTGAACAACTTGACATAAGAACAAAAAGCCTAGGAGTGTTTTTAGGTTCGGCGAAACCTTACGACAAATTATGGATTTCAGAGTTACTAGAAGAAGGTGCACCTTCTTCAAATATTGGTCTCAATTTCATCTTCGAAGCCAATTACCATCGTGGTATCGAGTGTCGTCTAAAGCTACTTTCTGTCCGTAAGACAAAGCGGGGTTCCTAAATTTAAAAACATTAAGTCTAAAAGGGGGGGGACTTTGTTCGACCCGCGGGGATCGGGCGAATGGGTGCCTCCAGAAACATGATATTTATCAAAACGTGACAATACAAGTTAAAAAAAAAAAAAATCAAACGATATGAGGTCGCTTTGCTACATAGCTATTTTACTGTAATATCAGTTCTTTTATAGACTTGGCCGACTTATATTTGCCCAGCCGCGTTTCGAGATAAGATAGCACGATATAATTTTTGTTCTTGTAAACTTTTATTCCAGAAAAAAGTAAGCCATGTTACGTATAACATACGCTTGAACAATGTTATATTATGTTCAAGTTGATTTACACATCTTGATGGATCTTATGGATTGAAATGAAGTAAATCAGAAATGTACAACGTGAGTTTAATTTCTCTGCCCCCCTTTTTTTTATTAAATTATTTGGTCCCTTTGGAAAAAAAACCCGAGACATAAAATTTAATTTTTTGTTTAGTTTATCATGAGGCAAACGTTTTATATCTAAACTTATGCTTCGGTTGGACGAAAATTCTATTAAGCCGTATTAAATGATTATGATATATTTTAGCGCTAAAAAGAGTTGTTGTCGTCATTAGATTATGTACATTTGTAGGTACATGATGATGATGACGATGAAGATGAAAGGAGACTAGGCAGTGGGAGTTTATGTTTCCCAAGTAGCCTTCTGGCTGCTTACCTAGTTCGTCTGTTCAATCTGACGATTCGATCCTTCTTGTAAGGACTATGTACTAGGTCATTGACTACCGTTACTCTGGTTTTTATTTGTATCTCAGGTTGTCTCCATTGAGCGGTCGCTTCGAAGTTGATATCGGTCGCGATTTCTTCCCCCTCATCGCACAATCTACAAATGAGATCATTATTTAAAATGGCCATGTTATGTAGATGTTTTCTCAAATGCCAGTAAGGGGAAATAGTCCTATCACTCCTCCGAGTTTACCCCTCTCTAACTGTAGCAGTTTGACATAGACATAGATACATTCACAAATTTTAAAATAAGTGTGTCCATAACTATGTTCGAATGCCGACATAGCTTTTGGACTGTTTAAGAACTGTAATACGGTTCTGACCCCTCGTTCGCGACACCCAATGTAGTTGTACGTAGCCATCAAACCAGTGAGACCCTCCACACTTGAGCCGCATCGTACATCGTCATTACCTTAGTAAACGTACTAAATTTAGATTGAAGGATCGACCGTTTTTTTATTTGTAATCACTTAGGGATTGTTAGGATAGGAACCTTAAGGATTACGATATAAAAGTATAAATAACATCATAGCATTGAGTACGGAAAAATCTCTATTTGCGAAAAACAATGATCGTTTCATAAAAGGGCCCAGAACGAGGGGGAAGGGTTTGCCACAAGGGGGTTTCCTATCTCCTCTGTTGTATGCAATGTATGTGAGGGGAATTGAAGAAAAAAATACTGGAAATAGCGAAAATTTTACAATATCCAGATGATATTAATTAATTAATTCGATTATTCTTAACAGGTTGTTTTCCACCGTTTCGGAATACCATAATTTTTGACATAGCTAGTTAACAGGTTTTTTAATTTCTTGATTAAAACAAGTCTCTTTAATTTAACACTTTACATACACACACACACGGTTTGGTACAATATTTTGCTCATTATTTAAAATTGTTTAATAAATTTATGTGTAAATCTTTTACATGACATTTAAACCAAAACATTTATTTTTTTATTATGAACTGTTACACAATTTATTTTAGGGAGGCCTAGGGGACATTGCGTGATCTTAAGCCGGCTCACGTACGTAAAAATCCCAGCTTGATGGGCTCGAGTCACAGGTATGGGCTGGTATCTGTTCGTTTACGAGATTACATATTTTAATCGCAGGGATTATTGTCACAAAATCCTTTATGGTTTTTAAGTGCAAAGGAAATGAAGAAAATAATTCCCACTATATTTGAGTTTATGTGCATCCTTAAAAAGTATATACACTTTATTACATTTACTTTCATAGAAATTTCATACTGTAGTTAATTTTGGAAAATAACTTCCTACGGAGTTTATCTTAATAGTTATTTTTTCAAGTTCTCTTAATTGCTTTCTCTAGGGGTTATTATACTCGGATGAACTGTTGTTTTTACAAAATGTTATTGATTCCTCAATTCCTCGCAAAATATTTAAAATCGTGTTATACAATATATTTATTTTATCTTCCATTAAATTTGTATTGGTGAAATTATTAAATTTGAAATCCAAATTAATTGAGGGACTATTTAATTGAGCATTTTTAAAACGGATATCCTCAAGTGTTTTGCTAAATCTTCCTTCCATTGTCGGAGTATTGCGCTCTTATATGTTCCTCCAGAATAATTTCTTTATTATTTTTATTCTTTATTAACTTCTTTACTAAATTTTCGATTAGCTTATCGTATGCATCAAAATTTCCAGTTACTAGGTTAACTATTCTCCCTAATCCACTTATAAAGTCCGAATTTTATTATTCTCTTATTATTTTCATTGTGCTCTTTAATAAATTCCGATTTACGTTAAGGATCTTTCTGTTCTGATTAATTATTTTAAAGAATTTAGAGAATGCATGTTGCAAAGGTGTTTAGTTTACTAAAATCTAACACTTTTGTATACTTATTTCCTAGCCTTATCTATTCGTTATATTATTATAATATTATATTTATCTTTATCTTTTATTTTTATATTTTCTTTTGATATTTATTGTTATAATAGAGTGAGTCATAATAATAAAATGAGCTTTTTTCTTGCTTTAAAAATAATTTTATTTTGACACATTTTTTTTTAAATATTCAAACTATATATCGTTGTTTTTTATGGTTTACTTTCTATCTCGAGGATAGTGTTGGATTCCTTCACAATACCACTCTTTGGGTTTTGAACCTCATCCTGAGGAATTTTTCCTTGAAGACAATGAGCCATAGACTCGAACATGGTAGTAGAAAGGTGCTAAGTCTGGACTGTAAGAAGGATGAGGGAGAAGCTCAATTCCATCCAATTCTGTAGTTTTTTCGAGTAACGAGAATTGTGCGGACGGGCGTTATCTTGTTGAAACAAAACGCGATTTCTATTTACTAATCCTGGGTAACGGGTTGGTCAAAACATTACACATTTTTTGTAACTGCTCACAATAAAGTTTTCAGTCAATGGTTCGACCTTCTAGAATGAATTCATAATGAAAAAATACCGAGAGCATTGTCTTTTTGTCTAATTGCCTTGTTTAGCACTGGTAGAGCAGGCTGTGTGCAGTCTAGCCATTGTT